TTTTGTGAGCTCGAGGAAGATCAGATAAATTCTTAAATTAATTTTAAGGAAGAGATTTCTAACTATGATAACAGGACTAACTTTGTTGCATAAGTTCTGATTTGAGCAATTTATTTGGATAAGCCCGACCAAGGATATGATTATTACATCATATATGAGAACTTATCCACTGTTATGCTACATATGGCCATGAGTCACCCGGCCTAGACCCGACACAAACACAACCTGCTCCAAACTGTTAACCACGGGTTAGTTCAGTGTCATATAAATGTAACTCTGACCCAGCGGCTGGGGTCAGGGCCGAGTCACAGACTCACCCTTTTTTCTTTTTATTATTCGGTCCTGCTCGGAATCCAAGTCAAACTTGTGGTCAAAGGGATCAGACTGTTGTGATTCAGTTTAACATTAGTTGGGCGGTCCCAATACATATTAAGGTGGTGATTTCATATTTGGTCTAAATCTTGGCTAATTGATCTAAGTGGGACAAATAGGGTGGATAAGCCCAAGCACATACCAACGGTAAAAAAAATTTGACAGTTGAAAATCAACAGTCAGATTTTTTTTCACTTTTTTTTTTTTCTATTTAGAATGGGCCCTGGGTCGGGTTTGGGTCCAGGTCAGAACCGACCATCTAATAACCAACGGTTAAATAATTTTGATTTGATCGTTGGATCATTTGACCGTTGGAGATCCAATAACTAGAGGGCTAGTACACCGCCAACTCGTTGGGCCGGCATGAGCCCGGTGGTTCCCAAAAATTTTATTGAATAAATTGGAAAATTCTTTTAAAAAAATGAAAAAAATAAAAATAAATCTATAAATACCCCCCTCCTGTCTCTTGCCCCTTCCCAAAAAAGAAAAAAACAGATTTTCTCACCAACCTCTCAATTTCTTACTCTTTCCCTCTCATTTATAACATTCAGATTGGTCTTTTTGAGTTTTTGTGCTCGATTTTTTATAAAATCCATCTGATTCTATATAAGCTCGGTTTTGATTTTATGAAAAAAAACCCTCATTTCGGTTTCGGTTCAACATAATACTCTATTGTTTTTTATTTTCTATCATCTTCACCTCTCTTTTTATCTTTTTTAATATAATATTTTTATTTTCAAGACACAAATATCGGGTTCTCGTGGTGGTTGTGGTGATGCCAACGATATTTCCCCACAAAAATGTAAAATTGTAGGCAGCGCATCTTCGAATAGACTTCCATTGCCGAGGAAAACTGTATATCAGGTATGTCCCGGGTCTACCCATTGACTTTGATCCCTCAACGATCGATAACGTTTCACTCTCGTGATGAAATAGAAGATACCTACTAGGTCGATGAGCAGTAGGACGACGACGAGACCCAGCGTATGAAGACGATTGTGATCCCACTGAAGGCGGAGGGGGTTAACGACCTCAACCTCGGATGGCCTCCCACAGTAATAAAACGTTGAAATTGGCAATCTTGGCAAGGAATTTCAAGAAGTTGTATGTATTTGCAACCACTGTCTGGTCAACTCAAGGAAGCAATACGCTTGAAAAACTGGCGATGGTTACGGATCCATGCAACGACACCCACAACGTTATCATTCGGCCGAAATGGGGATTCCCTCAACTCAAACGTAATTCCTGACTGGGAGTAGCCCTGCATCCGAGAGTGGAAACAAATACGTCTTCAACGTTATTTCAATACTCGCATGAGAACTGTAGACATCATATAGGTGAATTTATTTATGTATCATCTTTTCCTATCTGTTTTGTTGATTCCAAATTATATGAAAATGTTTCTCAAGTGGCTTTAAACCCGAATGCGCAACGAGTTTCACGTACTAGTCTCACCTGTGATATTCAAAATATTATGGCTGAGCAAAAACTCATTTTGGTGCAAACTTTCTCTAATTTACAACAAAGACTTTCTCTTTGTTGTGATATTGTGACTGATCAATGCATACGAACTATTATATTGGAATTACTTGTCATTGGTTGATGATAGTTTTCAATTACAAAAACATTTGATTGCTTATACGCCATTTAATGTCAATCATATCACGTCAATCATATCACTCCTAATATCACTTGTTTAAATTCACGTGTAGTAACTAGTTGTAATATTGGTAAAAAAAAAATTTTTCCACTTTTTTTTGATAATGCTAGTGCAAATACTGTATCCATTGGTTAGCTTAAAATAAATTTTAGTCCCATTTGTGGGGATCTTTTTTTTT